TGAACGACTCTACAATTATAGTTGCATTGACCTTGGTTGCCGCATGGTTAATGGATGACAGAGTTTGAATGGCATTGTTATGGCTCATTGATGCCCTGGTGACCTTGCGATAGTCTCCCCGGAAAAGTTTGCACATCTCCACGGGCGTTTAGCTAAAAACTAGAGGAGCGTCGGTCTTAAGAATGGCAGGGCTGTGAACTGCACCAAATGGTCTTCAGAATGGCTACTTTAGTACAAAATGTCACATAAATGTGAGGCGCTCCATGGGAGCGCCTCACATTTATGTGACATTGATGATGCGTGATGATGCGTGATGAACATGATGCGTACATGAATGTATCCCTGAGGTTCTGATCAGGGCCGAGTAACGCCTGACGGCGGCAGGAAGACGAAACCACTCGAAGCGTCGTGACAACAGCGATGTCGTCGACGTTGAGCAATGGTTCGAAAAATTTGTCCGTTTGTACTATGTTATGCTAACTTAAATATGTGCTTTGCTACGTTATGCCGTGCTATTTATGCTAGCATAGTATTCATGATCCACCTAGCAGCTTTATTGGAAGCTGAAAGGTGCGCAAAGCCTGACGCCAAAATGCGGTATGACCGGATCGGGTATTGCTTTTGGCAGTGCACGGGACAGACAAATATTAACCAATCCGATCTTATTCTTATGAGGGCAAGCAGGATCCAGATCCGATCCGAATGTATTCGTTCATAGTTCGAATACATATTTCTGGCATGAAGTTAAAATGCAAGATTGTTGTACATAAGCGTCTTTCTCACACGCTTCTCATCAAGCACGGTTCGCTTAAAAACGGCACTTTTTTCTCGGCTGTATCTGGGCAAACATTTTCTTTTATCAGCTGAGTTTCATAAATTATTATCTTGGGCCGCAATCGATAAATTTTCCTTCAAAAACTATACCTCGCCGCACAAACACTTGTGGAGGAATTTAACGTCTTGGTTTGAAATCGGACGAAGGTGGTACAATAATCGGCCGTACAAAGTAGGCCACTCTTCATACCTCGGACCAGGCTGTGTCTGTCTGCCGCTCGCAGTGAGCCTAGTCTGACGAGGTAGCCACCTCACCACGGCATGACTACCGTCGGCGTCGCCCACCCCGTCAAACGCCGACCGCCAGCACACGGCCGTCACATCAGCAGGGAGGCAGCGTGCAGCGCGCGCCGTCAGGGAATAACAACAGCCACACTCCAACGACCTGGAGACAGAGAATTTCAAGCCAGAGCGCGGAAGGCGGCCTCCGTTCGTCGATATTATACAGCTCGTCTCAGCAGAATACAAATATAACCACTGCCGCGGGTAGCAGCAGACGGCCTGCTGTCAGGCGCTGTCTGCTCTGCCTCCCGCCTGGCTTCACTGAACGCGGATATTCGTGAGCCCGATCGGCCACGAGGCTGATCCACACGACCTCACGAACCGTCCGGCAATGGAGCAAGGTACGCTCGTTCACTTCGGTGGTAAGTGTTGGCCGCAGTGTACTGGGAGAGCACCGAGGCGCTGCGGCCCGGCCAGGTGTCACACCTGCCACCTGGCGGTGGAAATCGAATACGAACATTCACGGGCGAGCCGGGCGACGGCCGGCCGCTCGCGGGAGCCGGCCACACCGCTCGCTGGGTGGGACGTCCTGTTACGCCACGTGACGCCGGGCCGAGGTCTGTCACGCGCACATGCCCGGGGCGCAATCTCCCCGCAGCTGTGACGGGTCTGACTGATGCTGCGTGCTCTAGGGCTCGGGGACGTAAGGAATGCGGTTCGTATGCAAACCCCGTGTTTTTAGTGTGTCCGCTGTTGTGCCAAGCCACAGCGATATGCCGGCAGGATCAGCCTCGCAGCTGCTTCAGTCATCTCCTCACTGCATGCGTCACATCACCGTCCGTGACGCTCTCCGGCAGAGGCCTCAGCTGTCATCCTGGGGCTGGGGCGCTTGTGCTGGCAGGGGGCGGCGCCGTCCGCCGCTGATGGCGGCCTTCACGGCCGGCGCGTCGTCGCCGCCGCCGCCGCCGCCGCCGCCGCCGGGCGCCCCCCGGGACGGCCCCGAGGCCAGGGGCCGGGAGGAAGAGCCGACGCTCCAGTCGCCATTCGTTATTCTCCGATCAGCACAGCGAGGGGAGCCGCTAACGATTGGGCATCAGATATAATGCTGCCGATCCATAAACATTAATTTCTTGGGACGCCGCCGCCGCGAGCTAGTTTTTCGCTGGATGGCGTTTGGTGACACCGGTTAGCAATGGCCTATAGCACCCCAGGTATGGGCTGTTCAATAGATGCCTGATCAATTTGTCCTGGGATCGCCGGCCGGGTAGGAGCCGGTTTTAGTTTTAACAACCAGCGGATATAATTTATGAAAAACTGGTCAGTGTATTTCACTGTCAAGGCTTCTAATAGCACACAGAGCACGCATAGCCCAAATATTTCTCTTCCCAAACAACGCTCAGTACTTAACGCCGAAGCGCCGATGTGAAGTGACATCTTGTTGAGGAGTCACACATTTGTAAATACTCAGATCGCATATTCGAATTGATATTGACAGGCTCATTACGTTCTTTTTCAGCGTGCCTGCGTCAGCTCTGTTAACCTTATATCCAGTTGATAGAAAATACGTGTTGAATACAACTCGTTGTATACAAGCTGTTGAATACAATCAAGGAGCCTAACCCGCCAAAAGCGAATTAGTGACTGAGACCGGCAGAGGACCGGCGGCGGAGAACGGGGATAATATCATTGTCTCCATGCACCCGTCGCCCCTCGTGCAAACCGTTTGCCGTCGCACCCTCCGGTGCCGCGGTGATTTATGTCAGAATATTCTGTCGGGGCCTCGTGCCAAGCGGCCATCGATCTGAGCCGGCTCACATGCTACGCGTCCGGAAGAAAAAAACCGCGACACAGAGACCCAATCGTTGATCCAACGCTAATCGACGATAAAATTGAATAAATCGTCGTTTTTGCAGTTGCGTTGTCGTCCAGAACGCCGCCGGTTAAATGGACCCGAAAGTCGGCTGGCATCTGCGTTAAAGGGCGGCCTAAAGAAAAATGGACAGGCGGACCGTGTTGAAAAGCAGTGATGCTGGGCACAGGAGGTGGGGTTTCTAATGGTCAGTTAGAGTCTAGGCGCCAGGCATTTCCTACAAACATGAACTTGTAATGGGTTGGTTTATTTTCCTTGAATTTAATTTAATTTTGTGCGTGTACCGTTGCAACGATGCATATTATTACCGTTACCTACTTTGCATCGTATGAGCACATTGTACAGGCGTCTAGAATTGCAATGAATCTATCTACACCAAATGCTTTGTTTTGCTCTCCGATATGCGACAAGATAAAATACGGAAAACCGGACATGGTCTTGAATGACGGAACAGTTTGACATTTGCACACACAGCAAGCACCTTGCACAAAAATGCTTCATAGAATTGGTGGCGAATCGTGGTTTTATAGGTTGTTATTTAGCGTTCGTTGAAAGGGGTCTCTAATGTTCTCAGATGTTTCTCGGAGATCATTTTAAGCCACCGAACACAGGATACAGATTTTTACAGCAGTGTTACACGACTTCTTAATATTCTGTGAAAGCTTGAAAATATGTGTTTTTAACACCTAGGATGACATCTGTAGAAGTTATCAGTAGCATTTCGCGTTCAAGCGCACAATAGCATCGTTTGTCGTGAAATACACGTTCTGAAAGGCTTTCTTGCTTGTTTTGGCATTTTATTTTCGCAGATATGATAACGCGATTTTTAAAACCTCCATGTCACAGATCATTTAAGGCCCGTGTTTGTCGGGTTTCGTAAATAAACTAATATCCCACTTGCGGGAATAATTTGGGAGCCTTCGCAACTTGGCCTGTCACAAAGGGTATCACTATAAACAAAACTTGACGCGGTTTATCCCGTGCCAACCAGCGCGGCGTCGTGCCTCGTCGATGTATGATGCCTAGTTGCTTCAATAGTGAGGAACGTCCAAATACACCAGGCCTGACACGTGTGACCTGATTCGGCGCGTCATCCGTCACATCTACTGATGGTTCACTGTTCACATGTGATTCAGTGGGCCACGGACACCCGACGCACTTCCAGCACCACTTTCCCGCTGTCGATCACGGTTGGCATAGTTTAGAGGACGTGAAAGGGGGCCAAGTTCATCATTTTTCTCCGATGACCTAGTTTGACCAATCAAAGGTTTGTTGCACCATCATGAAGTGACCGCGCCGGTGGGTGAGCAGTTGCCAGACTGGATCGTAGAGCATATTCGTCTGCCCACCTTTAAATATAATAAAAGTAAAATTTCAGTCCCGTCGTATCTCACCAACTTTGAGTAACTTCTGCAGTTTTTGTTTGTAAGGCCAAGCGGTCTTCAAGCTCAGGCCACGCCAAAAGATACGGTTGATGGGTGAAAAGCGTCATTTCTTGCCCACACCTATTTCAGTCCATGTGTTTAAGGGTAGTGGCACGCCTCACCACTCTTCAGGTGATCCCAGGGGAGATCAGCATCGCTTCACACTGCTCAGGAGATTCGAGGGGGAGATCAGCATCACTCCACACTCCTCAGGAGATTCGAGGGGGAGATCAACACCATTCTTCACTCCTCAGGAGACCGGAGTATCGCTTGACACCACTGCCGGACCTGATGGGAGGCGGGCATCACCCCTCACTTCTACCGGAGACCGCAGGGTGCCCGTACACCATGGCACCTAGGGCCAGAAGAGGAGGCCGATACTAACCCACCGTAAGCAGATGGGAGACTGTCCCCACCCCACAGATCAGAAGAGAGCATAACGGAGACCCCCACCGCAACCAGAGGAGAGGCCGTCCCCACCCCACACCCCACCAGAGACCAGAAGGAAGATCGACACCAATCTACCGCAACCAGACGGGAGGCCGTCCCCACCCCCACCCTACCAGAGATCAGAGCGGGACCAGACGGACCGGTCCGACACCCGGACAGGCCGGAAGACGTCCGTCTGCCGAGAGTGGCGCGGCACTTACCAGCGCGTGATGTAATCGACCGTGATGATGGCGACGCTCTTGTTGTCGGCCGGCGGCGCGACAGGCTCGGGCCCGGCTAGTCGCTCCAGGAGGGCGGCGGCCCGCGCCATACCGGCGGCCTGCGGCGGTCGGCCGGGCAGCGCGGCGGAGTCGGGCGCTAGGTCAGGCCAGCCGGCCCGGCAGCACGGCAGAGTCGGACGCTAGGTCAGGCCCGTCAGCCAGACAGCGCGGCGGAGTCGGACGCTAGGTCAGGCCCGCCGGCCGGGCAGCACGGCAGAGTCGGACGCTGGGTCAAGCTAGCCAGCCGGGCAGCACGGCGGAGTCGGACGCTAGGTCAGGCCCACCGGCCGGGCAGCGTGGCGGAGTAGAACGACGAGCCAGGCTTCGCCGGCTTCGGTGGCTGCTGCCTGCGAAGGAGAAACAAAATCAGCCAGATAAAAGCGACGCGGAGATGCATGGTGAAAAACTGCCGATGGACAGATCAGTGACGTAAAAGATATGTTACGTTTACGTGTTCCATCTACGTATAGGTATCAGGCATACCTTGTTGCGTATTCGCTTTAGGCATGCCGATTCAAGCTGGATTCAAGACCGTCTCACTTTTCTGTTCTCGCTTTAGCTACACCTAGCCTTGAAAACCTTTGGTGATATTGGCGATATTAGTGAGATGACATAAGTCGCAGTTTACGCATCCATGTGCCATAAGCAGTTCAGGGCAACACGTGGTGCAAAAAAAATAGCTTTAGGCACTGCAGTTTTGATTTATTCATTCAATCACTCATCAAATAGCAACGTACTGGAAACACCATAAAGAGACCTTTATTTTCCGTCACTCAGTGACCAAAGACGACTCACCAAGCAAGTCAAGAAATGTTATCAAGGCATTCAGAGTGCCTGAGCTGGCTAAGTCAACTCCGAATGACTTAATGCTGGAAATTAACTGAAAGTTAAATTCAAGATTGAAATATCTGGGCGAGATGGCGAACGGGCTTGCGCAAAAGATATTTGCAATCTATCACAGAAGTCATCACAGATTATCGCCCATTTGTCTTTTAAGGTTCCCGGTATTTTGGAGGTCATGCGTAGGCAACATATTTTTTTGACCACATATAAAGATTTCTTTAAAAATCACTTTAACGTTATTTTGTAGCTTCCATACCCACATCAATAATTTCAGATACTGTTGATTTAAAAAAAGAACAAGATGCTATAATGATTGCTGATAGATTGCATTAACATTCATTCAATGATCGCGCATAAATTGCTGCGCATTTTGGTCATTTGCACCCCTCCTCTAGTTATGTACTGGTTTTACTGGGCAAACATCCAGTGTCCTGGTTATGCTGTGTTGAACGTAGACGACCCAAAACGCAATATCTCCTTAGCCGCTAATTGAGCTAGATTAAACAAAAGAGGTTTATTGCTTGTTATTAGAAGAGGCGGGTGGCATCCAGTTCAAGTATCTTTAGGAAATCAGACACTTACATGATTTACCACCACACCTTATCGTAGCGTTACGCCGCCCAACGCCTATAGCTCTTGTCACGATTCGGTTACGCTCTATCGTACTCTTCCCTTCCCATGCGTGACGTAAGATCTGAACGGTCCCCTATACGCTTTAATGAAACATGAGTTTCTCAGCTGGTATTGTCACGCACGTGTAGGGTATTTTCTTTGTCCTACCAAAAGCTGCGAGGAGAACGCCGTCAAATTGCTGTGATACAAAATCGCCTATCCGATAATCTCAGAAGCATTTGTAGCCTCTTTCACCCCTGAGTTGATATGTCAGAACAATCGCCGCGAAAGCAGGGGACTGCGCTTTGAATCCCCGTGTTCCGCCAAGTTTTCCGTGCTTGCCAACTATGCAATGTCATCCGTCGCAACGTAGCACTCGAAAGGCCGTCTGCATGCTGGACAGCGAAATATTACAATTTCAACGATTAAAACGACATACATGCGTTCATGTGTTGAGGCGTGTAAGGCGCACTGGGCTTTACCAAAGTCGAATGCATGATTCGTTTAAGAAGATTGCTTGGTGCAGGGAAAAGCAGATATGAGCACCTCTATATAAAATAAATCCTTAAAACGTGAGATTTTCACCAGCATTCACACTACGTGACGAAAAGATCAAAAATATTTTGCTGCGTTACGACATTCTGGCTTCCATAACAATCAATTACCACGATTTATATATCAAATTGACGCGACGTTTCCTGATTCACTTATCGACGTTTTTCGCCATGCACGCGACTATTCCCTTTTATTTATTATTGAACTATGCCTCGTGTGTCATTAGTCCTCGCACTGAAGGCAGTCCCCGCCAGCTCCACCCCGACGGGGCGGTGGGGTGGTTACTACGTGGCGTCCACCGCCTCCGGTATATTCGTAGTGCAAGAGACTAGAGAAAAGAAAGAGACGTTGTTTGATAGCTCATGCAAAATCACATAAGTTGTTGAGTGCATTTGCAAGGAACGCTATTCAACTAGATAACACGGTAGTAACAGCCTTAATCCTCGGAGAAAAACCAGGAGACATAAAGCACATAGCGCAATAGAGATATAGCACATATATCATTTCTATATATATATATATATATATTTATATCCCCTTTTTCATGATTTTCTCCGAAGAATAAGCCTACAACTATTGTCTTAGCTAGCTCATGCAAAGCTTAACAAGATTGCTGCCGGTCATTTTGGTGTCCAAGGTCATGGTTAAGGGCAATGTAGGTCAAATATATTTTTTCTATCCGTTTTACCCATTTAATAAGTGATGGGTGTATTTCTGCCCGACTTTATCTATCTGAAATATTGTGGGAGCTGAATACATACGTCACGTATCAGCAAAGCGTGGTTGACGCTAGTGGACATGCCTCATCGAGTTCATTTTCATTTTGAGCGAGAAGTGCCTTTGAACGAGCGAAGTTATTTTTTCTGTAGCAACCGTGAATGGGGACAGAACCGACTTGAGCAAAACCTTGATTCCAAGATTATCTTCACCAGTGGCAAACGTTGACTTTCCTAAGCTCACCATCACGTGCTGGGTAAGAATGGAATGCCGATCGATTGAGTTCATTGGGCTAGAAGTAAACGAGAAAAAGCTAACCATGGACAAAACATTAACGTCCTGTAAGGTCAGTGAGGACCCTATCACAGCATTGTTTACGTCGGGCTAGAAGTATTGGCTTATTGGCTTATTATTATATATGGCTATCGACTATATGGCTACACGCCTATTATATATTACTGGCGTATTGGCCTATCGTTACCAATGAGAGATGTACAGGTAACATAATGGAGCAGAAAACCGAGTGGGGCCCATAAATGCCAGCAGTGGTGCAAAATGTTTCAAAATGCAAACTTCTAGCATAAATCAGTTTAGTGACCTATGATGGTATTCCACGTAAAAGCGTAATATGCGGGGAAGAAGTGGTGGCGCTGGATAAGGAGCCAAGAAAGCCAACAAGATGCGTCCCTGGAGTGCGTGTTCCCAGGGACCAGTGCTTAACATCAAGTCGGGTCAGGGACTTGTAATAATCACCACGTCCCATTGGAAGATGAGCGGGTAACGTTGATAGGAAAAAATGATGCAAACCTCAGAAAAGATGAAATGGCGACCCAATTCCGGAATATCTCCAGTTTATCCGAATTTAGGTCCAACAGGCTTCGACTAAAACTCCTCTAGGTAACTGACCTGACATGATTTGGGCATACAATTTCAAGGCACGTGTAAAATTGATACAAGAGAAGATGCTGCAAATCTCAAGGAGACAGTGGGCTAGGGGTGAATCAAGCAATGACCGCCTTTAGCCAATGTTTTCCTCAAACCTTCGAGTTGTCCGCGCCCTTCCCCCCCCCCCCCCCCCCCCCCCTCCTCCTCCACTGCCCACCTCCCGAGGAACAGGGCTTATGGCTGAAAGATACATATTTTGGTCATGTACTGCATTGCCCAATCTCAGAAGCAACAGTGTTGACCACGAAAATAGGCTGGTGCAAATAGGCACGAGATTTTGCCCGAAAACTGTGCATAACAAAGAGATCAGTGCACCTCAGAGACAAAAAATGGCCCTTCCAGCAACACCAACAAGCTTTAACTTATTCTGTTCTACCCAGTTACCAACTTACCGCCGTTGACGAATCACAAAACTACAGCCTGGATGCGACTCCATGTGTCTGCCAAGCTGTGGATAAAAGTCATCAGCTACCGGTGCGGCGAGCTTCAGCCTTGAGCAGCGCCCATCATGATGTAACAAACTTTTCTGTGGTCTCTCGTTGGGTTCGGAGTGAATGCCTTTTGCCGCCGTGACGCGGCTTTTCAGTTACTTTTCATCGTGTCCGACATTTTTAATTACCTTTCAGACACCCAAAAATAATTTGGTTATTTCGGGGGGACGCCTTTGAAGTTCACTCTGGAATAGAGGACCTCAGCGGAGTGGAGTTAGATCCTTGGTTAAACTGCGCGTCTGGGAAACCAGAGGTATAGACTTCGATTCCCCGCGGTGCCCGCCTTTCCTGCCAGGGTGAGAGGCAGGCTACACCAGATAGCCTCAGCTACTGAAAGCGTCGTTAAGCACCATTTTCAACAGAGAGCCACAGTCATTTAAGCAGGGAGCCACAGTGGAAAAATGTTTAAGGGAATGCATCGCATTTGAAGATACTGAAGCATGCATCAGACATGATGAAACAGATTAACGTGGAACTATTGGTACACTTTTTAAGTGGAAAACTTCTCCAGGGAGTACAAGTTTCTGCGTAGTAAATATGCTCCTTAATAGGTCATGGTATGATTATGTCATCGAGCCTTGCACAACATTGGCTGAGAGCCAACAGACGGTCGTTATATCTGTAAATCACGCTCACGAACGTCAGATAAACGCCTCCGGAATTATATTGGTCTTGGCCTTGATCACCGCATGACTTGCGGACTGCTTAGAACTGAATGGCATTTTATGACGTCATGAATACCAAAGCGAGTTCGAAATGCTCTCTCCGATATGCCTTTCTCCATTTTCGCGGGCGTATAGCTCAGAAACTAGATGGGCTTAAGTCTTAAGAAGGGCAGGATTGTGAAT